GGCGGAGGCTGGTGGGTTCCCGGCTACGGGCTGAGAGTCCCCGGAGGCGCACGTGCATCTGCTCATGCCAGCAGCAATGCCAGCAGCTCTGTGGCTGAAACTCTGGGCAGACATTGCCTAAAGGAGCGGCCAGCAGCTGTCATGCTGGTAGTGACCAGGATCCATCCCAGGGTCATGTACTTTTATGTCCAGGACCTTTCCCTTGCTTGTCCTGTCCTCTCATCAGCTGCAGGCAGGGAGCTGTACTCTGTGCCAAAGAAAGCTCAAGGCAGCTCGCCGTGGGTGGGTTTCACTCTTCCAGGGTGGAAGAAGGAGTCTTCTGTTTTCACACGTCCTCATAGCCCCACAGCCTTTTGGCTAGGGGCAAGCGAGACTGGATGGCATCTGAACTGCAAGGCCTCCAGGCTTGGGGTTTGCACATAAGATGCCTGCCATGGATTTGGGAGCATATGAAACCCCAGACTGATGTGTTTGGGAGGCAGGATACCTGCCAGTGGTAGCATCACATAGACTAGAACGAATGATCTCTGCTCAGCCAACATTTGGAACTTAATTCGGAGCTGATTTGGCCTGGGAAATGCAATTAAAAAAAAAAAAAAGCAGCGCTGAGTGGCAGAGCCATTTTAGTCCTTCCCCAAGCTAATGAGTGCCGCTGCAGCATTATGCAGAAGTGGTTATGCTGCTTCCATTTAGAAGGCAGCTGGCCTGATACAGGGGGCATCTTTGAGGGCATGGTAGCCAGACCCCACAAGTTTGCTCCGTAGACGTGGCCTGAGTTTAACAACCCTGCCCTTGCAAAATGCTAAGGGACCTTCCATGACCCAGCAGTTGGGATGAATCTCCTCTTCAGCCTGTGGGGAAAAAAACAGCTGCTGTGGTTTGGTCAAAAAGTGACAATAAAGTCACTTCAAGTGAATACCCGATAAGGCAAATTCCCACACTTATGATGAGCAGACCTCCAGGGCACTAGCTGCAGCACACAGTGCACATGGAGATGGCAAAAGAATTAATTGGTTAAACTGATTCATTTTCTGGGTCCCGTAAAATAAATATTCCATAGCACAGCTCTCTTATTCTAAATGTCCATTAGGAAGAATTAAACCAGTTTCAAGAATAATGTTTGGATATACACAAGGAACTCGGTTTAAGAGGCTTGCACTGCATTTGGAAAAGCCCTGCGTTTCCTTGTTAGCATATTGGCTGCTCTGGGCTTTTGATTCTTTGCTGAGATCAGGCCCTGAGCCCACTGGAGCCACCAAGAGGCTGTGGATCAGGCTGTTACTCCCTCAATTATTATCTGTCTTAATCTGTTGTAAGTATTGCCATATTGTGACAACACTTGCTGAACAAAGGACGCTGAAGAGCTCAAGTCCCAGGTAAGGGATGACGAGTCCGATTCAAGTAACCTGTGAATCCAGGAGAACGTCTCGGTCTGGGCTATGGTCTATTGAGCTCCGTTGCTCTTGGTGAGACTCTGAGCGGGTACAAGTCACCCGACACTGAGTCAGGTACCAGATTTACAGCGCTGCAAGTCAAGGCCCCGTGTTTCTCCAGGTACAGCGCTGGCTGCAGCAGTGAAAGCTTTCCTGCAATGCCCCCCGCCCTGCTCTGCCCTGTATGTTCATTGGTATTTCATATTTCTGGTCTGGCAGTGCCTAGGAGCCCCATCCTTGCTAGATGTTGTGCAACCCCAGTGGGATGTGGCCCCTGCCCTGAAGAGCATGCTGCATAGTAGACAAGATGACAAGGCCGGGATGAGTTGCCAGGAGGTGAAATGGCTTTTCTGGGGTCACGCAGCGGGTCGGCAGCCGAACCCCGCTGGAGGGGATTTCAGTCTCTGCGCGCCCAGCCAGTTCCAGCAGCCAAAACCAAGAGTCAAACCTCAGAAATCGCCAGACTGACAATGTAGGACTCTCTTAATGCGATCCGTAGGCTGGATTTAAAAGGAATCTGCAGGGGATTTTTAGAGTAGTAGGTGTATGCCATTTTATTTGGCCTGGAATTGTTTTTCTTCCACGTAGTTTTGATTTTAAAATCTCAGGACAGCATCTCTGGAGACCTCTGTGCACAAGAGACACCAGCCCACTGGGAACTTGGTTTGATTAACAAGTGTGCTTTTGTTTCTGATCTAATTAATAACTGAACCCAGGTATTAGCAGGTGATGGTGTTTGGGTGGAAGAGGAGCGGGGAAGTCAAGAAGTCATGTTTCCATTCCCATTACTGTCAGTAGCACCCCTGGTATCTTTGGGTGACTTGTGCTCTCTCACGTTCGCAGGAATGACCGCTGTTTTGGGAGGTATCCAAATGTGAACACCCAAAACCAGAGCTGCCAAAAAAGTAAGAGTTTAGTTCTGAAAATAGGAACCATTATCTCCCTTTGTCTCTCTTCACCTGGCAAGGGGCGGGGGAGACAGTAATATTTGCCCATCTTTTTGAAGCTCTTTGAGATTTTACAGATATAAGGGGCCATATAAGCCTGAAATAATCAGGATCTGGCCCATCGTTTAGCTGCAGTTGGCCTGCTGGTCAGCAGTTTGCAATGTGTTGCTCTCAGATCGGTGGTGGGATATGCACTGTTCCCTACCAGGCTACATGAGCCCTGGGATGCAGCCTGCCTTTCCCCTCTGCTTCCCCTTGGGCTGGTCTCTGCCATCCCTGCCAGCTGCTTCTGGCTTAGTGTCTTATTTAGACCCTGAGGGCCAGAGCTCAGACCTGCGGGTGTGGATCCAGCCCTGCCTTTGCTGACAGCTCCTCTGAACTGAGGTCCCTCCGGCGCTGCCTTGAGACCCTCCACATAGAATTTCCCGGGGACGTGGTCGCCAAGCAGTTGCCGCTCCTTCAATCTCGGCAGACAAGGTTCTTTGGGTGAATCTGATATTTTTTA